AGTTGTCCTTTATAGATATCTTTCATCTAAATAATTTGCAACAAATATCGTCAATAACAAACCATCGATCGAGGCAACTGGATCTAGTCTTTACTTCCAATTAGTTCAATTGTTTACCTATTACTGTTCCGGATCCGTTGGTTAACGTTGATATCTATCATCCTCCGATATTTTCCTCTTATTGCATTGACGACCAACCATCTATTGACGAGCCCCTTTTCTATCCTTTTGAATTTAAAAGTGCGAATTTCGCAATGCTAAATGATTTCTTTTCTACTTACAACTTCTCTTCAGTATTTAACTTTACTGATATTGAGTCTATGACGGGTAAGTTTTACGAAATAATTTTTGCTGCATTTGAATTGTTTATTCTAGTGTTGAAAACTAAAGATACTGGCTCTGGCCCTCCATGGTTTTCACAAGAGTTGAGGTACTTTGCAACAAAAAGAATAAGCTCTGGCGCAAATGTCTCTCCACTAAAGGCGACAGGGACTATGATAATTTCCGATTGTCGTATGATTAATTTAAATTAGCAGCAAAAGAACGTTACGACTACTATATCTATGAAACTTCGGACAACTTAATACGTAATCCCAAAGTCTTTTGGAAGTTCATAAACCATAAGAGGAAAAGTGATAGTTATCCAACATTCTTGAAATTCGACGAGAATACAAGTAATAATTCCCAAATTATTTCCGATTTATCTCTTTTTCATCTTTTCAATTAAATGTCGACAACTTTCAGCACATTGATAACTATCCTAAAACCACCTTTACAAATTTTTTCCCGAACTCTTTTACGGTTGAAAAATATCTTTCCGATTTGGGTTCTAGTCTTTCTCCTGGACCAGATGGAGTTCCTGAGATTATTTTAAGCAGGTGCTGCTCTTCCCTGGCGCCCATCTTAACCGTAATTTTTAATAAGTCTTATTCGTCGGGCATTTTCCCGTCCGTGAGGAAGGAAGTTTTTATTATCCATAAGAAAAACAATAAACATGACGTGTCAAACTATTGTCCTATAGCTTAACCGTCGGCAATTCTTAAGGTTTTTGAGTTGATGATATATGACAATATTTATTTCCATTGTATGCCATTCATTAGTGCGCGTCAGCATGGCTTCTTGAAAAAGAAATTCACGATGACCAATCTAGTGGAAGCCACGACAGTTTTCTCAAATAATATGGAAAATGGGTATCAGACGGACGTAATTTACACAGACTTTAGCAAAGCCTTTGACATACTACCGCATGAAATTAATATTTTAAAACTGAAACTCTTATTGCTGTTCATAATTTCAATTAACGATGTTGCTTCCATACTAACGCACAGTGCGGTATTAATATATGCTGATGACATGAAAATTTAAAAAAAAATAAGCTCTACAAATGATGCGTTATGTCTTTAGAATGATCTTAACCGCTTCTACGGCTCTAGCTCAAGTAACAACCTAAAAATCAATGTAAGTAAATGTGCACAAATGTGCTACTCTACGCAAAAACGACCATTTTTTGCAAACTATACTTTGAATGGCCAAGCTCAATAATGGACCTGGGTGTTTGCTTCGATAGCAAGTTATCATTTATAAACCACTATAATCATATCATATGCAGATTAAGCTCGATTTTAGGTTTCATTAAACGCGGGTCAAAGGAGTTTAATGAACCTTATGCCATGAAATCGCTCTACACATGCCTGGTCCGTCCTCATCTGGAATATGCTTCACAAGTATGGTCACCCTATTACGATATACACATTAATAGGATTGAGTCTATTCAAAAAAAAATTTTTGAGGTTCGCACTGCGCCTTTTTCCGTGGGAAAACCTCATCATTCTTCCACCTTACAAGCACAAACTCAAATTAATTGACCTACCCACACTGGGTAAAACACGTGATGTCGCGGATTTGTTATTCATTTTTCAGCTTATGAAGACTTAATCGCCCCCGACATTTTAAATAAAATTGTGACTAATTCCAACCTTAGGTCTCGTTCTCCGGATCTTTTCATGGTTTCTTTTCATAGGACCAATTATGGGAAACATGAACCTGTCAGCAGAATGCTGCGTTTATGCAACAAACACAAACACAGACTTGACTTTTCACTGAAAAAAGACACGATGAAAAAGCTTCTACTTACTCATAGTTAAGTATAATCCTTTGCTTTATTTTAACAAATTCTTGTTTTAACTTTTCATTGTCTATATTAATATTTAATGGAATATTATTACAAATAAGTTTTATTTTGCATAATTTTTAAATTTAATATTTAAGTCAAAAATTTGTTCTGTCTAAAAAATATGTATCTGTATATTCATTCTTTAATTTCAAGTTATGTAAAATGTTTGAGCTAACCATAAATCAATAAATAAATAAATTATTCCTGGTTCTGATTGTAGTTGAGTAAGTACAAACATTCTTGACTTGTTGAATTATATTACTTAATATGTCGAAGTCTACTAAATTTGTATTATAAATTTTATTTTGGACCATAGAGTACATTTTGTTGTAGCCTGTTCTTTGAATAACGCAATTTTGGAAGGGTTTTTTTTCTATATTTTCTTTTTTAATCGAAGCTAACTGATGATCTAATAAACTATTATTTTCAATCTTAGTAGTAATACCATATTTATTACTAATACTATACTTATACTATATACTAGTAGTAATACTGATGATCTAATAAACTATTATTTTCAATCTTAGTAGTAATACTATATTTATTATTAATATTGGAAATTATATGGTCTATCAAAGAACTTGATTGTGCCGCTGTTCTTGTACTAATAGTTTTGTTCAAAAAATAATATCCTGAATTTTTAATAATATCTATGTATTTAATTACTGTATTACTCTTATCAAATATATTAATATTAGTATCCGGAAAAAATATATAATCAGAGCAGTTACTTAGCTTATTTTCCAAATAATCAATAAATAAATTATTATTTTCATTAGGGGCTTTATAAAAAGTACCAATTCTTAATTTAGGATGAGAATTTAAAATTTCAATAGCTGTGTAATTTTACTTTTGATCTTTTGTTATTTCAGTATAATTAATGTTCCCATTTCTCCGATATAGTATACCGGTATAAACCGATTGAATAATACCCTGCACCTTTCGTTATTGTGTAGCAATTACTCGAACCTATGAAGTCATTCTATAGAAACTTCACGGATATGTCTGACCTATAATTGGACATCCGACTGCCAAGTTTCATGAATCTGACTTTATAATTTTTCCAAATATTTAAAATTAGCTTTTGGAGTTGTATGGCAAGTACCTGAACCTGTCAAACAATTCCATCAAAACTTCACAAATATATCTGATCTACAATTGGACACACAACTGCCAAGTATCATGAATCTGACTTCATTATTTTTCCAAATATTTAAAATATGCTTTTGGAGTTGTTTGGCAAGTCCCCGAACCTGTCAAGCAATTCCACTAAAACTTCACAAATATATATGATCTATAATCGGACACACAACTGCCAAGTTTCATGGATCTGACTTTATTATTTTTCCAAATAATAAGAATAAGCTTTAAGACTTGTATGGGAGCTACTCGAACCTGTCAAGCAATCCCATTAAAACTTTAGAAATATGTCTGACCTATAATTGGACACACACTGCCAAGTTTCATCAATCTGATTTTATTATTTTTCCAAATATTTAAAATTTGCTGTTGGAGTTGTATGGCAAGTACCTGAACCTGTCAAACAATTCCATCAAAACTTCACAAATATATCTGATCTACAATTGGACACACAACTGCCAAGTATCATGAATCTGACTTCATTATTTTTCCAAATATTTAAAATATGCTTTTGGAGTTGTTTGGCAAGTCCCCGAACCTGTCAAGCAATTCCACTAAAACTTCACAAATATATATGATCTATAATCGGACACACAACTGCCAAGTTTCATGGATCTGACTTTATTATTTTTCCAAATAATAAGAATAAGCTTTAAGACTTGTATGGGAGCTACTCGAACCTGTCAAGCAATCCCATTAAAACTTTAGAAATATGTCTGACCTATAATTGGACATCCGACTGCCAAGTTTCATGAATCTGACTTTATAATTTTTCCAAATATTTAAAATTAGCTTTTGGAGTTGTATGGCAAGTACCTGAACCTGTCAAACAATTCCATCAAAACTTCACAAATATATCTGATCTACAATTGGACACACAACTGCCAAGTATCATGAATCTGACTTCATTATTTTTCCAAATATTTAAAATATGCTTCTGGAGTTGTATGGCAGGTACCCGAACCTGTAAAGCAATTCCTGTAAAACTTCAGAAGTATATTTGACCTATAATTGGACACATGACTGCCAAGTTTCATGAATCTGACTTTATTATTTTGCCGAATATAAAAAATTTGCTGTTGGAGTTGTATGACAGCCACCCGAACCGGTGCAGCTATCCCATTATAATTTTTAGACCATGTGTAGAATATAATTGGACACATGTGTACAAAGTTTTATATTTATAGCTTTATTAGTTTTTGAAATATTTAAAATAAACTCTTTGAGTTGTATGGCAGCTACCCGAACCCGTTGTCCGAATTAGTCCAATAACAATAGGGCTCGTCCTTGGCACAAAAAAAAAAAATTATGAAAGTTTGGTGTCGATTGCATTATTAGTTTTTGAGTTATCGTGCGAACGGACGGACGGACGGACGGACGGACGGACATGTCTAAATCGACGCAGAATTTTACGCTGAGCAAGAATATATGTATATGTCCATACCGCAGATGACTCCTTCAAGTAGTTACAAACTCCATACCAAAGTTAATATACCCTTCACGAAGTGCAGGGTATAAAAAATGAATGTGTTCGCAAATATTGTTGTAAATAATTCAATTGATTTTAATAGAAGCAACAGTTCAAGTAGTTTCAGTAATTTTAATAAAATTAAACAAATTATAAAAGCAAAAAAGATACTGCCTTTTTATTAATAAAAAAATTAAGACAGAATCAAAAAGGCAAATTCCAAAAATAACTAATTTTGAAACAATCATTGATAAATATCCAGACGATGTGTTTTATAATCATTTTCGAATGACTAGAAACGCTTGAAGTAAGTACATTGTATGAGTAATTATAATCCAAAATTATTTGTACTTTTTGTTTTTTAGATATTTATAACATGTTGAAGCCAACCTTTAAAAATTGCTACCTTGGACGATCGAAAAATTACAGTTTAAAATATGGTTTATATATGACAATTTGGAAATTAGCTAACAGAAATTCATTTCGCGAAGTTAGTGGCCGATTTGGAGTAGCGCATGGCTCTGCATATCGAATTTTTATAAAATGTGTCACATTGATAGCAAATTTAAAAAGCAAAGTAATTAGATTTCCTCGAACTGCTACTTCACAAAGGAAACTAATTGAGGAATTTGAAAAAATCCGTGGCCGACCATTCCCGAATACAATTGGATGCATCGACGGTATGCATATTAGCATTAGTAAACCGTAAAAAAATCCAGCACGCTTTTATAATAGAAAAGGATTTTACTCAATCCTTGTCCAAGTAATTTTTATTTACATAGGTATATGTATGTATATATCTACACATATTTTTTAATTTATAGGGAATAGTGGATAGCAAAATAAAGTTTTCTGATGCTTTCTTGGGCTACCCTGGTAGTTGCCACGATGCAGCTATGTGAAATGATAGTCCAATAAAAAAGGCAATTACCAGTGGTAGGTTTTTCTATTGTTATATATGTACTTCTTTAATACATAGCCTGGTCTGGTTCCATAAAAGTTATATATGTACATACATATATTTACTATATTTTCAGGTATTATATCCATTCCACCAGAGAATCAGTTAATAGGCGATGGAGCGTATAGTTTACAAATGTACATGATGACTCCATTTAAAGATAACGGGCACTTGACCGAAAAAGAAACAAGATATAATACGGCTTTAAGTTCAAACCGTGTTTTGGTTGAACAGGCTTTTGGTATTTCGAAAAAATGGAGAATGTTACATCATCTGAAACTTCATAATCTAAGTTTAGCAAAAACCATAATAATGGCAGCTATTGCTCTTCAAAATATTGTAATTGATCATGAAGGAGTTGATGAAAACGACACAAATCGAATCAATATTGAAAATATTATTTCTACTACTACATCGAGTTTTCCAAACCAAGAAGCCTCAAATAAAAGAAACATAATAACAAAATTGATATGTGCCTAAAATAAAATAACCTTTCTTTGAATTAATCATATTTTCTGTTTCTGTAAGTTTTTGAAAAAATATAAAACAAAAGTTTCAAAGTAAAAAAAGAGAAATGTTCATATTTATTCGTATCATACTTCAAATTCATTTTCCAATTTGCAACTACATAATATAATCTAAATATAACTTAATTTTGTTCTGAGCCAAACAATAACTCAGAATAAGTCTTATTCAAAACTTGTTAAAAAATAAAAATCAATATTTCATTTAATGAATTAAGGTATAACTTACTGTTCTTTTTCCATTTTTTTTTTCAAGTTTTAAAAATATACGTGTATGTTTTCAAAAAACTTTTTTGTTTATGAATTTGAAATATGACAAATGACACTAAATTTTGTATAACTAACAAACGTTTCCATACCACTGGAAAAATAGCATTCTCATGTTTTCTTTTGGAAAAAACTTGATAGCTAGCACTTTATTGCTGAAAATATATGCTAGTTTATTTTATGGGTTATTTCTGGTAACATTTATATGACAAGGTATAAGAAAAGCGTGCTCGATTTTTTCGATACCCGATTTACTTTTATTTTACGTTTCCATTACGTATTAAACACGTTTTGGAAATGTGTACAATGTCAAGAGCTTTTAATAAAATTTTTGGAATTTGATACTTTGTAAAATTTACGTCTTAAGCGCATTATTGAAGTCACGGACGCTTTTCTTATACCTTGTCATATAAATGTTGCCATGAATAACCAATTAAATAAATTAGCATTTACTTTTAGCAATAAAGTGCCAGTTATTAAGTTTTTTCCCTAAAATGCAGCATGAAAATGCAATGTTTTTAATGATTTGGTAATGTTTGTTAAAAATTAACATTTGCACAGAACTTTATATTGAACTTTTCAAACAAACATCAAAGTATGTAATAATATTGTAAAAATTGTATTCCAAAATGTACGAAAAGCTTTAGTAGTTTTTTTTACAATGTAAAGGTATTGACAGCTCTGAGACGGTACTACAACCGTATTAAAACCGTACATTAATCTTTTTTACAGCATCATTGAAGTCACGGTATGTCTGCAACTCCTTCTCCTCCCCCATACAATTTTTTGTTGAAAATTGATTAAAGAACTGTACCTGAAATTATTTGCCATCTTATGCGGAATACCCTGTATAACATAGCAATATTTTAACGTAAACGTCATACAATAGTTTAATAACTTACCATAATATAACCCAATTCCGTAACCAAATATTTACAGGGTTCAAATATTAATTTATCCGTAGAAATTGCAATATTAGGCACCACCATTTTATTTTGTAAAGAAATGAAAACGTGAGAACGAATGATAGCTTCGAAAAATATATCAACTTAACTGAAAACGTTGCCCAGCCTAGAGGTAGAAATTCCGTCTTTATTCTCAAATGAATATCTCAGAATACAGTTTTAGGTCCAAGTTAAACTTTGAAGTTCATTTTTATCTTAAATATTTAAATCAGGCTATTAGTTCCCTCAGGGAAAGGTTTAATTTTTTAAAATTTATAGTATTTTATTTTCATCTTTAAAAAATACTAGTAATATTACAAAATATGAATATTTAGAAAATTTATATGTGAACTTAGAATAAGCTTTAACTTCTAATGAATCGAGAGATTTAAATAAAACAAGTAAAGCTAAATCAATCCAGTTTAGATGTATTGAACTATATCATATGTATATCAATTTTATTTAGATCAACTTTTTCCGAATTGTATAGTGTCCATTAAAAATTTTAATACTTTACCGGTTAGTGAAGCATCAAGATAGTTTTTCAAAATTAAAATTAATAAATACTTATTTGTGAACGGTAAGGACACAAGATCGAACAGTAGATTTGTCGATTTTATCAATAGAAAAAGAGTTAGTTGAATAATAAGATTATGAAACAAGCTAAGAAAATTCGTTTTATGTTAGTATTTAGCAGTTTAATTTAAATTTTGAATATTTAGAATCGAGAAGTAGGCCTTCTGGGGACAATTTGTTAAAAAAAGCGCGTTGATAAATCTTTGTTTGTTGAATAACCACCAAAACACCAACAAAAACACGCCTGCGCCTCCGCCTGCGTTTTTGTTGGTGTTTTTATATCGCTGCTATTTCAATATCGTGCTTAGCACATTTGTCATAAGCACTACTGAAAGCGCCGTAGAACGCGTATTTTTCTACATTTTGGGCATCCTTGGTTGGGGAATGGCAGCATACCACACTGATATTCAAAAATTTTGATTTCAGTCAGATACAGCATATACGCTCACTGATGGGTTGCCAGCCTACTTTTAGCCAACCTTTTAGATAAATTTAGCAACAAAAACACTTTAATAGTAGGAAACTTTAACTTTAATATAATAAATGACTGTGATTATAACGTATTATCTTATATATGAATATAAGAACACCCTTAAAAGTAATGGATTTTTTTTTTTGTGATAATAGTTTAACACGATCTGCATCTGGAAACTGTATAAATCATATTTTAATAAATTAAATAGTAAAATTAATATAACATATCTTGACGTTGATTTTCGGGCCATCATGTTTAATTGTTAGAATTAAATGAAAAACAATATTTAAACGAAACAATCACCGAATATAAAAAATTACATACTGACATTAACAACATGAAAAGACTGCTATCAAATTTATAAAATGACACATTAGTAAGTGATGCCGATAAAATTTGCAAGAATGTAGTAGTTTCCACTGAAAGTGGAATTAAGAGAGCATCGTCAAAAAAAATTATAAAAGGCAAAATAAAATTTAGTTAGCCTTAGTTCGATCATGAACGTTGCCGATTTATAAAAACTGAAAATTTTTGGTACAAGAAAAATTTATACTCAGAATTTATAAAAACAAAATTCCACTACTGGCTGAATCGATTTACTGCAACAAAAAGAAAGCAAAAGAAAAAGTATAACTTAAGAAAAATTGAACAATGTCAGAATAAACAACAAAAAATATGGAATTTTGTAAAAGATATTGCTGCTGGTTATACACACAAAATTAAATGCATCAAAACAAGAGAAACAAAAGAACGTAAAGAATTTTATCGCAAAGTGAGGAAAAACATGATAAAAGAATTTAACACATTATATATGCCACAAAACCTATTAACACTAAAAAAAGTTGATCGCAATAAACTTTTAAAATTAATTGACAAACTAAAAAATACTAAAAGTTCTAGCGTAGAAATTAGCGCCGCCAAGGATCAGGTAGCTGCGTTGGTGAAGTCCTCTGGGGGTTGAACAGAGTGTGTTACATTCTCATCCTATCTCCAGCGTGACTTTATCCATCCAGACGAAGAGTTGAAGGATCTAGTGAACTTCTGTGGTGCGATGCTAATGCCCACCACACCGTCTGGAGAAGCAGTGATATAAATAAAAGAGGTGAGTGCCTAATTAATAGAATTTATATTTAGTACTAAATTAGCAATTATGAATGTTGGCGATAAGCCGACAACAGGGAAATAAGAAAAGCTAAAAGAAGCTCATGGAGGGCGTTCTGCACTGGAATAGATCAACTCCCCAGCAGTGCACGTCTTCACAGGGTGCTTTCAAAAAGGTATGCTAGTGGGCTGGGCCTGATGGCTCCATGACCGAGAACGGAAAGCAGACATTGGAGCTTATGGCTTTAACGCACTTTTCTGACTCGGGGATCAACCAAGCACATCTTGGTCCAGAAGAGAAGATTGATAACGGTCCCGTATGATCTTCTCGGTGGGTAGGATTAGATTGTATTTCCTTTCAAGCCATACAAAACTCCCGTCGATATCCTGCAGATGACGGGATATATCCTGCAGAGGGGTCTCTAATATATCACTAGAGCGTTGTTGAAAGTTTTTCGTGCCAGCTATGCTTGGGCTTACATCTCCCAAGCCTGGAGATGACTAAGGTGACGTATATTCCGAAGGCAGATAAGCGAACAAGTAACCACTCAAGATATTTTCTCTATCTCTTTATACTGCGCTCATTCTACAATATCTGGTGGGGTCTTCCAGAACGTATTGGACGGGCGGGAGGTAACAGTTGGCTGTTTTCTTGATATTGAAGGTTCTTTTGATTACATATCATGTCATATGCGAGTAGCTGCACAAATGCGGGATTGAAGCGACCACGGGAAAATTTGTTAGTCGGATGCTACAGAAAAGAATCACACAGTCCACCATAGCTGATGACACACACTTCATTTCCGCTAGAAAATGGTGTCCGCAGGGCGCGGTTCTTTCACCCTTTCTGTGGTCCATTGTAGTCGATAATTTCATCACTGGACTTAGGGGCTCGCGAGCAGGTGTCTGGGTCTACGCCGACGACGTGGCCTTCGTCATACGAGGCAAATTCGGGGCCACTATTTGTGATCATCTACAGCAATATTTACGCGTTGCGAAAGAGTGGTGTAGATGCGTTCGGTTAAATATAGATCACAACAAAAGCACAATGGTTGCCTTCACCAGACGGAGAAACAAAGATAAATACTGTTTGTTGAACGTATGGGTAGAGGCTAAAAATTGTACTGTCACCTCCTGGTTGTGAGTCCTGGTAATGGTGGAGGATAAAAAGTGCTTTAAATGAGCAAAGTTACATTCGTGTCGTAGTCATATCTCGCTGCGAATCCCTTGCTTTTTGTATTTCAGCCTGATATCTATACGTCAACTAACGGTAGGTATCCCAAGTCAAGGTGGAACAGCATATGCTGATGACTGCGTGGCTAAGGGCTAAAGAAACAAAAGACAACAACAAAATAACAACGATAACAGGAACAACAACGACAATGACTTCAATAAGGACAAAACAAAGAACAAAAACGGCAAGGACAACAAGGACAACGATCAGGTGGCTGGTAATGCCATACAACGACTCCGGCGGAAACGAATAAGCATTTTCCTATGGGACCTCTTATCCAGGAAGCCGAAGAGGAAATGAAGAGATTGGAGATCGGGGAAAAGAAACATAATTTCTCTGGTGCTTCTAAAAGACGTGTCGCGGCGTACATCGGGGATGGTATTTCAGAAGAAGTTTGCGAATACGAAAAGAAAAGACTGGAAAAACTGAGAGCCTGCGAAACGATTGTTACAACCAACAATCCCCCGAAAGGTAGCCATCATGGTCAAGAAATGGACAAGGTTCCCGAGTCGCATTCCCTGTTTGCTGCGTCGTCGCAAAGGGACGGATGGATATCCGTCACATGCAACAACCGGGACACCAGGGATTGGATTACCAGTATCTGCAGCAGGATTAAACATTAGGACGGCTGTAACATAGCTGTACTATATAGTGATAACGCACATCTTTGTTACCTATGTGCCAAAGGACGAAACAACCGGCGGTCTCTCCAGGGAGTAGTTCGCCGATAGGATAGGGAAGTAAAATCCCAACCTGAAGATGAGTTCTTGGAGGGTGCTCCGTGGACGATTCTGGTTTGGAGGATCTACGGAAAGTGGAGTTTCCTCTTTTTTTCTGAAAGAGAGAAAGTCACTACAGTATTCTGGTTACAGGGCAGGCTCTAAGGAGCCGACAGACCAACGCCTGGCGCAGATATGACAAGCCTTTCAGGGGACCCAAAAGGACCTAAGCCCATTGGGGAACCTGAAACGGCTCCAAAGACTGCAGTTGGAGCAGATAGGGCTCCCACCTCAAAGGGGAATGCCGGGCCTGCGAAGGCAAAAAAAGGAGGGCGGACCGGAAAAGAAAAAACTTACCGGCGCGCAAACCAAGAAGGCCAAAAGGTTCCCATGTGGAGACTTTGTCTAAAGGGCTAAAGCCCATAGATAAGAGCCGAAAGAAATGATATGTAAGATAAAAGGCTGTGAGGTGCATCTAAATAAG